TGAATTTGAAATGTTGATAGTAATCAGTGATGCCAACTACGACGAAACCCTCAAAAGCATAAAATGTAGAGATATATCACCATGAAGCAAAAAGCTAATCAGGTAATTTATAGGAAAAATGTTGATTATCAAACTGAAGGTGATGTGACAATCGAACACTTGTATTTTTCTATGATTTGTATCGTGCAGAAAAAAGTACACTCCAAATGTTGATGTTTCTTCAACCTTCCACACGAACATATGTTTCAGGTAACGCGAAAAAAGAAACAACCGACTTAGAACTAGAAGAAATCAAAGCAAGAATCGACGAAGATGGCTCCGGAAACTTCCTGGACATTTTCCGATCCAGAGGCTTCACCAAGGCCTTCGTCACAGTCATCGCCTTACTGACGTTCCAACAAGCCTGCGGCAGCTACTTGGTCTTCTTCTACAGCCAGACCCTCTTCCAGCAAATAGGAACGGATCTTCCACCCGAGATCTGCAGTATAATCCTTGGAGCAGCGCTTNAAGTCATTATTCCAATAGTTCGAACTTCCATTGTTTAATATGATATCAATTGATTTGAAATCCCTGAAAGAATCTGTGAAAAAATTAAAAAGGTTAGCTGAAAAATAAGAATTATTTTAAGCAAAAAAACTGAAATTATAATGGAATAAAATACAAGCAACAACCAAAAAATAAAAATACTTCACGACATTTCGAGTGTTAGTATCCACAATCATCTTCGTGTGATAACTGGACTTTTTCCTCAGAGATCTGACTATTTATAGGTCATTCGAGAGCTTTCACCCATTCCCTCTTCACTCTCTTCTCCGTTTCATCGGTTTTAGCGAAAGCTGACCGTTTGGCGGGAGTTGGTCGTGTTCCGCTTGATTAGAGGTTTCCATATGTTGCGTATCTCTACGCTAGCTAGGCTAAATGCGTTGTTCGACGACATATACGCGACTTCTTTGAATTTTCTCCAAAACCAGTGTTCCTCTTTGTGGATTATTTCAGCTTGTGACCAGATGATGTTATGTTGATGAATCCGCCTTCAAACAAAGAAGAAATCATTGCTGCTGTAGAGTGAAGCGTAGGGGAAGTCCCGAATCAGTCTGTCCGCACAGAAATTGGATATGTGTCCCTTCATGGAAGATTTTGCGAAAAGATCTTGGTTTGCGTGCTTACAAAAGCCAACTCGTGCATGAATAGGAGCCTCACGATCACCTAGCAAGGCGTAGATTCGGTGAATGGCCCAAAACAATTTTATTTAGTGATGAAGTTCACATTTGTTTAAATGGATACGTCAATAAACAAAACAGCCGTATTTGGAGTTATGATAATCCTCAAGTTTATGTTAAGACATCGTTACATCCAGAAAACTGACTATTTGGTATGCTTTATGGACTGGTGGAGTCATTGGTCCGTACTTCTTTAAAAACGATACTGTTCAGAATGTTACAGTCAATGGTGATCGCTTAGAGCCACGATTACTGACTTTTTCGTTCATCAATTGAACAACCATGATGAGCAGGAGCTGTAGTTTCAACAAGACGGCGCAACTGTCACACAGCTCGTGCCACAGTTGATTTATTGCAGGAAACATTTCGTAACCGCAAAGTTTCACGTTCCGGACCCGTGAATTGGCCTCCAAGATCGTGAGATTTAACGCCGCTAGACTATTTTCTGTGGGTATATGTGAAGTCGCTAGTCTACGCGGATGAGCCCGAAACGATTGACTGGTTGGAGGACAACATTCCTCAATATTTGTGGCCGACATACGGCCACAAATATTGGAAAAAGTCATCGAGATTGGACCTCCAGATTGGACTACGTCCGAGCCAGCCGTGACGGTCATATGGCCAAAAGTCATATTTAAATTATAATGCCAGAAGATTATCTTTAGAATGAAGTAAAATTCATGTCAATTAAAAAATGTATCTTTGTTTTATTCCATTTCAAAGTTCTATGTCTCCATGTCAGAAGAAACAATTAGTTTTTGTGCTTTCAATAACAGTATTTTTTTTTGTTGCGTATTGACGAGTTAGTGAACGAAAAATGAACGTTTGCATCATCTGAATATGTATAAAAGTCCATTCACAGACTTGAATGGGTCAAATATATCAGTAGCCCCGGAACCGATGCTTGAGGTACACCACAAGTGATATCTTGAATAAAGGATGTTACTGAGTTCTGATGAACTGTTTAACAACGCCTTGTAAGATAAAATTTGATAAACGCGTTTGCCTCGTCTCTTATACCACTGTTTTCTCAGAAAAATAGGAAAACAGATAACTGCACAGGAACTATGAATATATTCTTCATTTGTTTTCTTATTAATTTGAAGAATTTTGCGTTTTCTTCTGAATTACTCTGAATGAAATCGATTATGCATGCAATTAATGAATTATATATAATTATGAATTAGGAAAAATGTGTTAATAGAAAGTCCTAACGGTACAAGTGAAGGGAATGATGAATTATAGAATTACAACATTGCANAAACGTGAAGTTTTTCTCGTCAAATCGGGTGTCAGGAATAATATCTCTTAATCTTGTAGGTGTACTAACTCAATTTCTCAATATATGATTTTTTTAAATTTCCACCCAATTTTCACTCCCTCAGATGGCCTGGAAAACTATAAAGTGGAGTTTTTTCAGTCGAATAGATCATCAGAAATAACATATCTCAATTTTGTAGGTGTACAAAGTCGATTTTTCATGTTACGATTTTTTTAAATATTTCCACCCCATTTTCACCCCTTCAGCCAGTTTAATAAACTAGGACGGCTCTGTTTTTCACTAAATCAGTCAATTAGCGTATCGTACTGAAAACTGGTAGGTGTGCAGAGTCGGTAAATGAAAAAAATAATAATGCGATATTTTTTTCTCAGTGTACGTTGTGGATGTGGATAAATTCACAATCGTTGCCCGCTGACTATATGTCAAATGTATCAGCAGGTTTTCATACTTGATAATGGTATGAAACTCGAAAAAGGTTGTGAAAACTAGTGGAAATTATACAAAAGTGTTTTCATTGATTTCATTAAACTGATCATGAATTCCCCCAAAATCGGTATTTTTTTGTCTCGGCCACCGTATCCACCAGATTTGCCCCCTGCGACTTTTTTCTCTTCCCAAGATTGAAAAGACCCATATAAGGACGGCGATTTGCGACGATTGAGGAGATAAAAATTGAATCGCTGAGAAAGAGAGCTCTGGGACATACCAAAAAGCGCCGGGGGCCGAGGGAGCTACTTTGAAGGGTACAAAATATGAATTGATGCATGAATAAATAATTTTCAGAAGGAAATGAAAATTCACCCTATTTTTAGAACGGAGTAGTACTTATAGTGTGATATCATGTTGTCAAAAACTGTCCTGAAACTAGTCATTGGCAGTTGAACAATTCTTATCGATATCATTAGTATATTCTAGCTACGTTTTATTTCTGAATATCATTAGAATACTCGTCGAAGTTTCGTAACGATGTAGAAATAAAGTAGGGTGTTAACGTTCGATAAAAATCTATCAGTGAATCATAGGTTTCTATACTGAAGATTCAGCGAATTGATCTAGAATGTGACTTAAAGATACTAGAAATGGATCCTGACAAAAAACTCTTGGTGGCGTCTCCTGGACATGAACCGAATGTATTTTCGAAACTTCTTTTTTGGTAAGTGACAAAAATGTATTTGGGATTACTCCAGACAACTTTTGTCCAATGTGGGACACACTGAATACTTTTTTTCATGTCATCCAACCTTTGAGCTATTTTCAAAAGCTGATAAATTTTATCAATTTTCAGTCAATCATCAATTACAGTTTACAATGGCTTCAAAGGAATGAATATGATTATTGTGGAATCTAAACCGGAAATAATTAAGATGGTGCAAAAGTTTGGTCCGTTTTCATATGTCTACTATAACTATACTATAATATCTCAGTAAATAATGTTTTCAATTTGTACTTTTTCCAAAGTAACACAAGTTTATTTCACATACACACAATTCTTCAAATGAAAAACTTCTCAAGCTCTGAAGTTCGAGGTGTACTGAGTAGAACCTCAAAACTATGAGAGTATTTCTGATATGTACCGCTCTTGGTGTAATCTAATGTGTCTGTATGGTGTCCATTTCAACCACCATAGTACTTATCGAAGCAGAAGGCGGAATTTTCTGCCCTGACATTATCATATCCCGTTCGAAGACATTCAAAATCGATGCCTGAGTTTTTGAGTCTTTGAGTACCCCATACAGGTAAACCATCCAGGTGTACCACTACAAATATGGATGACATACAATAGAAAACCATATTTATGATCGCTCAAGATTTTGTAGCCTTCCAAATATTTAAGGATATGGTGGTTCACGGTTTTCTCAATGATTTTGGATAACACTGGTAGCAAAGCGACTGGTCTATAGTTGTTTGAAAGATTTTCATCAATCGATTCCGTCGACATGAAAGTGTGTGCTCGGGATTCGATGAATTTGACGAAGGCTGTTTTGCCTGGTCCAGATTGGCGAGTGTTCTGTCGATGAGGAAGTTATTGGAGTGCTTGAAAGGATGGCAGTCGATTAGTGAGAAATCTGGAAGCTGAGGCAGATCTTCGACACTCAACTCGTTTGATTTTTATACGCACCATTTGTGACGGGTCAGTCTTCAACAGGGTTCTCAAATCCCCGTCCCAGATTACTGTAGGTCGATCACTTCGAAGCTTATCTTCGAGTCTAAAATCTCCGGAACGAAATTTCGCAAACTAACCTCAAACAGTGCGTTCGATTTGGATTCGTAGAGAAAAATTAGCAGAAAATTGCTCAACGACATCATATAGTAAGAAGCTGAAAAAAAGCAAAAAATGAAAATCTAGCAAAGTTACAGCATCAATTCATATAGTACAAAATTATCTATCAATCAGAATACAGCACACGACTCGGTAGAATAAATATTTATTGAGATATAGAGCTACAAAAACACATGACATTGAAACGTGCCAAACTTTTGAAATAAGCTGATACTAGACGTTATATTCATCTTGGCAAAAGTTATTTGGAATATTTGTTATCGTGTTCCCACGGAGAATCGATATTGAACCTAATTTTTCTGCTCAGGAGCCATTTTATCCAAATGTAATATTGTTCTTCATATCCAAGAAACTATCCTATGTTCTTTCATTCTTCGAAAAAAGGTTCTCACCATTTTGCCCATATAAAGTTTCAGGCAATAGCCACAACTCAACCCATATATACCCCTGATTTATCTGAACTGAAAACTTGTCTTCATTGTTTTTGATAAATTTGCGTGAATTATTAGTCGTCTGGTTAGCCAAGTCCAAGTCTTTATTTTTCAAAAAACTAGCAATGTTATGAAGAAAAGAGAAATGAAACTTTCTATGTTTTTTGCCATTTTTATTTGTAACTAACTACTTGTATACTTTAAATGGTGTTGATTGTAATGGATTTTAAATAACTTAATTATTCGCTGTAATTTTCACATTTTTACTTTCTGTTGTAACTGTTTTATGTGACGTATGTATAAACACTTTTGTGTAACAACATGTATAAAGTATCTATCTATCTATCTATAACAATGTTATGTTTGTCAATGTCCTGTGATACTCATTATTGTTTATTATAGTGGGGTTGACCCAGTAAATAGCTTGTTTCCGTAGTTTCTCAGAAATAATGGAGTCGATAATATACATTTTACACGTCATATGACACAATGACACATTTTTTGTATAGAGATGAAAAAATAGAAAGCCAAAGAGCTCATGGACAATGTAACTCCACCATTTTTTTCAATATTGACAACGGTAGGAGTCATGAGAACTCTATCTGAAAGAGCCTAGTATTCTTCATATCATCACCTTTCAAATTCGAAGCCCTCATCTGCATTTTCATCGACCTCATCGAAAAGACGTTCACTTAAAGTTTGTTTTTTCATATAAACCCAAACACACCAATGATTTGGTCCGAATTCTTGCAAAATTAAATATCAAACTGGCATCCAAAACTACTCGTACACTACAAAAAGTGCTAGGCAACCCGAAAGCAGTAAAAGTTACGATAAAAAGTACTTCGTGCAAACTGAACGCACAATAATAACGAGTTTTAAGCCACATATTCCAAACTCCAAATTTAGTTCTCTGTTGCCAATATTATGTTATTTAGCTTGACCATTTTCAGTTGGGTGGTACCGATTTTTAAAAAAGGCTGCTACAACCAAATCAAAAGTGGGAACATCCATCCAAGAGGAATGGATCTGTGTACTCCGCTTGCCGATGAATTGGAGAAGTAAGTATATCGTGACATGTTTCACCAGAATAGTACTTGAAGCAGCATAGCAACCAGTGATTCTGTTAATGTTAGGAAATGGAATATAGAACTCATCAAAGCAACAAACAGAGATATACCTCCGTGTCTGCAGGTGGCAATCGTCAAAACCTTTGGAAAGTCTTATTCAATATTTGGATTCTGGTTGTTATTACAGAGTGTTGTCATAAGGTTAGTGAATACCATAGTTAAAATCAGCTGCGTTGTCATTTCTCATTCTTTAGAACTTTGCTGCCCATTGTCTTGGAGAAATATATCAAATCCTTCCACGTTGATGAGTCAACAAACACCATATGGTTTTGGGCGGTCAGCATCATAACCCTAACCATCTTAAACAGTTTGATGACCTATCAGTGCTACACAGGCTGTTCCAGAATCGGTATGAGGCTGAGAATCGCATGCTCGTCTCTAGTTTACAGAAAAGTAGGTATAAACCTCTGTTTCCATCCTGAAGACTCCTTCAACTATATTTTAAGGTTTTGAGACTCAGCCAATCATCTCTATCGCAAACTACGACAGCACAAATAGTCAACTTGTTATCAAAAGACGTTAGTACATTCGATGAAGCTGCCAAATATCTCCATTTCTTTTATGTGGCACCCATACAATGCTTGTGCTCCCTTTATGTCTTGTGGGATCTACTAGGGGTGGCTGCTTTTGCTGGGGTGATGCTGATAGTTCTAGAATCCATCCCAATGAGAGGTGACTCATTCATTTGTTTTTCTTCCTTCAAATAGTAACCTAAACAGTCTACGCAACAATGTAATTAATCTAGTCTCCTTAACCCATAATGTTTCAGCCCTATTGGTGACTTCTCAGAGAAGATTGTGCAATAAAACGGATGTTCTTACAGACCACAGAACGAAAGTTGTTACTGAAATCATTTCTGGAATACACCTCATCAAGATGCATGCTTGGGAAAAGCCGTTCGAGAAAGTTCTGATGGCTGCTAGGAAGTAAGATCCAATATATCTAGATGATTATCTTGAAACTTCCAATTTCAATGTGATGTAACTAATTCAATGATTTTATTTGACAGCACCAATGAAACTGATCTACTTTATGCTACTGTATGCTACTCACTGCCTTCAATTTTCAGATTCGAAATCGACCTGATACAAAAATCAGCCTGCATCAAAGCCACCCTCTCTTCTCTCACATTCCTCACGGAGCGTGTGGCTCTCTTTGTATCTCTCATAACCTTCGTACTGCTTGGTAACACCCTAAGAGCTGAGGTGGTTTTCACAGCCGTTAACATCTTCAACATACTCCAGCTCTACATGTGTCAGTACCTCCCGGAAGCTGTAGCTCGGTACGGGGAAGCTAGCGAAGCTATCGAGAGGCTGGAGAGGTTTCTTCTGCTGGAGGAGAAGGGCAGCGAGTTTAAAGTCATCAGCTATACGAAAAGTCGACGAAAACCTGGCTCGATTAAGTTAGCAGATGTTTGCATTAAAAAAGGACACGTGCCAATACTCCAGGTATGGTTTAGCTTCTTGTATTCATGATGTAACTATGTGAGCTTCCGTGGAAGTAACTCTTTGGTTTCAATTCATGATTCTCTTTATTTCTCTTGATCTTTTTCCGCTAGAATCTCAACTTTAGACTTCGACCAGGCACACTTTGCTGCATAGTTGGAGACTACGGATCTGGGAAAACTGCCTTCGTGAGCATGCTGTTGAAAGAACTCTCCATAGCCTCGGGAAGAATGGAAGTTATTGGTTCTGTCTCTTACGCCAGTCAAAATCCTTGGCTCTTCTCTTCCAACATCAGAAACAACATACTATTTGGTCGCAATTATAATAGACACAGGTGAGAATATAAAGATTCAGGTCCGGGAGTCTTGGAGGCTACCAGTTAAAGTATTTTCCTTCTTAGGTATAGAGAAGTAGTCAAGATCTGTGGTTTGGAAATGGACCTGCAGCAGTTACCTCAAGGCGACCAAACCCTTATAAGAGAGACAGGGGTGAGACTTAGCAAAGCGCTGCAGGCTAAGATCAACCTGGCCAGAGCTGTATATGTTGATGTTGATAATTATCTTCTGGATGATCCGCTAGTTGCAATTGGTGCTAGTGTGGGGCAGCAAATTTTTGACGAGTGTATTTGTGGCTTTTTGGCCAATAAAACGAGGGTTCTGGTGACGCAGAGAATTGAGTATTTGGAAAAGGCTGATTTGATTGTATTCTTGGAAAATGTAGGTGTCGCTTATTCTGAATACCAAAGTTGGTGGTATGGTATTGGTGATATTGGTTTCTTTTGCAGGGAACAATAAGTAAAATTTTGAATTTCCAAGATCTGTCAGAAACTGAACTGAGTTTACTGGTGACAAGATCATCTCATAATCGGGAAGATGTAACAAGTGTGAGTATATTTTCCATGTGTACAGTGATATGCATAAACGAGGTGTTTCCTAACTATGGTACGAAACTTCAGAGGGTGATTCGTTTGGTCGTTTTAAGTTATTTGAAGTATTAAGGCGCTTATTTGGAAATAGAAATAGATTTATTTGAAATTAAATTAGATTGGAATGTTAATTGTCTACTAATTCTAGTAAAGAAAAACGATTTTTTAGAAATTTTATTACACATACATTGGAAGTGTTTTTTTAAGTTCGTGTTATCAACGATGAATGAATTCTTTCACAATTTCTATAGTTTCGTCGTAGATCTCATTATTAATGGAGTTGATATCAATTAAGTTATATTTATATTGTGTTGTCAATATCAGTGGTATTCAGTTTGAGTTTGTTTATGTTCAAGAACTTCGCCAAATTAATTTTGCGTACAGCATTATGAATGCTGATGAGAGTATGCAATGAGAGTATCATCTGTAAAGATATTGATGAATTCATATTCACTAATAAAATTTATGTCATTCAAATAAAGTATGAATAAAACAGGGCCAAGTACACTCCCTTGGGGGACCCTGGTATCAATTGCTTTTTGGCTTGATGGGACGTTGTTTATTTTGGTAAATTGAGATCTGTTGAGTAAATAACTTCTGAACCATAGCAACACCCTACCAGTTATTCCATTGTAATCTAATTTTGATAGCAAAATAGATATATCTATAGTTTCGAACGCTCTTTTGAAATCCAAAAATACTGCTGCTACATATTTATTTTCATCAATTGACAGTTTCCATTTAGACAAGGAGCAGTTTCACATGAGTGTTGCGATCTAAAACCTGATTGTCTTCGATATATGTGCATATTTGGTTATAAGTAGCAAACTCTAATACTTTTTCTAAAGGAGGCAGATTGTTTATGGGACGAAAGTTAAGGGCTTCATTTGCATTGTAAACTTTAGGCACAGGAACAACTGTACTAATTTTAACTTGATCTAGAAAGTGCCTATTTATCAAAGAAGAATTGACAAAACCAAGAAGTACGTGACCTAGTACCGAGAAGATACTCTTGAGAACCTTGTTATTCATTATATTAGTGTTACACTTGTTATCCAAACATGAAATAATTGACTTCAATTCCTTCAGTGACAAACGTTTGAAATCGGACTTGAACTAGATTGACATTATTAGGTCCAGTGGAGTCCTTATGAGCAAAATGTCCACCTCCTGATGGAATACACGACTGCAATCGATTTGTCAATGATTGTCTGACACGTTTAACAATACCTGGAGTATTCCTTATGACATTTCAATTTTCATTTATTCGACTCCTCAAGTCATTCATATCTTGTACAGGAGTTTTATAAACGAGACTCTTCAGATGACCCCATGGATAAAAATCCAGTGGATTCATATCAGAATTGCGAGCTGGCCAATTTTAAGTTCCAGCACGTCCAATCCAGTGATTACCAAAATGGGTAAATGATCTGGCAAAAAGTCCGTTTGGAATTCACCTGCTAATCTTGGTGGTAGAAAAAATGGGACAATTTCTACCAAAACGTTCAGCGAAAATTGTTGCAGATAATGACTTTCTCAAATAACGTGTGGATTTTCGCCGGCTAAAGAATGGTCATTGTGAAAGTTCATAATAGCATCTCGTGGAAAATTTGCTCCGTCCGTTAATAAAATATTTGGTAAAAAAATATTATTGTGTGTAAATCCCGAGGCAGTAGAGCTTGAACGCGCTGAATTTCTGTTCAACAATTCAATTTCCAGACTTTCGTTGCTAATCGTGATCCAGACTTCATTGAGCAAGATTCCAAAGAGCGGTCCCCGTGTGGAACCTTGAGGGACTACTTCAGGTCAGGTGCGAATAGATGCGTCCTTGCAATCCTGGCCACCCTCTTCATTCTGGGGCAACTGTTCACTAATGTCTCCGATTTATGGGTGACCTACTGGTGAGTCTCTCCATCCTAACATTTCAGACCCCTACTCCTATTTATTTTCCAGGGTGAACGTCAATTCCACTGGAGACACCTCTGGAGCTTCAGACCACAAGAACATTCTACCTGATTTGATGGAAATCATACCGAGGATTAACGACTACATGGATCTTGACGAAACAGAGGAAGGGCATTTCCATATCTATGTCTACACAGGAATCATAATAGCGTGTGTTGTTCTGGTCGTTATGAGATCTCTTATGTTTAACCGAGTTTGCATCAGTGCTTCTGAAGTGCTTCACGGGAAAATGTTCTCCCATGTGGTTCTCGCTCCCATGAGGTTTTTCAACGTCCACGCATCAGGTTTAGTTGAGAATTGTCATTTTGAACTTCTCCTTGTGTATAATTTTCCATATTTTTGTCCGTTTCTGTTCTTTTCCTCAGTTTATTTACATTTTTCCTCTGTTATAAGTTTTTCTACTNACAATTCACGCTGTATAATTCACAAACCAATGATACGCTCATGGCTGCAAGTACATTAGTGAGGACTGCAACGATGAGATGGAAGTTACGGTAAAGTGACAAAGACAGAAATATCGTTGCGTACAGCGTTGCCACTAGTTGTAATAAATATCTAACACTATACAGAAAATAATGAATTTTAACTGATCAGTAATCAGGAAATGTATAAGTATTACTCATTACAAGCTCATTACTGATTTTTGTCATAAATAATACCTTTTAATCGTACTAGTATTGTGTATTATCTATAATTTGTCACAACCTACAACTCTACTGCTTACTATATTTTGATTCTGCTATAAACTGGTAACGTAAAATTTAGATATGACAACGCGCTTTACTCTCAATCATTATTGGTTTTACTATAACCTATCTTTCTCTATATAAATAAATAACAAAACAACTGTTGTTCATGTGGCTTGTGGAGGTGGTATTGAACTATAATTTATATTTTGCCTAAATTGTTGATTTATAAAGATAATTTTCCTTTTTTAAAGTAGAATATCTAGGTACGTATACATTATTTCAATTTGATATAGGCGCTGTTGCCAATATGTGACTTAGAAACTAATCCCTTTAAAAATTAAAATCCAACATTTGAAACATCAATTTGAATACTTTTCGAAGTGAATTTGAAAAACTCATGAACTAAACTCAACTTTATTTTGTTCAAACTTGTATTTGCTGTAATAACCCAAATTGAGGAACATTCCCCATTGTTTCAATTTTCTATTCATTCTTTTCTCCATTTGCTCCCATTTTTTCTCTATTTTTAACATCCTTTCTGTTGATTTTATGTTAATTCTAAGTGATCTGTACTTTGTCATTTCCTAATAATCATTCAGTTATTTTTCATTTTCAGGAAAAATATTGAGCAGGTTCTCTAAAGATCTAGCCAGTCTGGATCTGATTCTACCGAGCGCAACTATGAAAGCTATACAGATCTACATGATGATGTTGGGAATTTTGATTCTAGTGTTTATCACTTCAGTTTGGATGCTAATACCAGCTTTTCTATTGGCAATAATCATCTACTTTATTGTCTTGTCCTATTTGAAAACATCTCGAATAATCAACAGTATGGAAAAAAAAGGTGAGATGATATTGAACAATCTTCAAGTTCTGTGGTCTATAAGTACCTACTAATAAGTATATTTTCTATATTTCTAGCTAGATCACCCTTATATTCCCATATTACCTCCTCTGTTTCTGGATTGTCAACGATACGTTCTTCGGGAGCGGAACAAATGTTAAGTGAAGAGTTTGACGACCTACTCAATAGTCACACGAGCTTTTGGTTTCTGTCTTCATCTTGCTTCGAAGCGTTTGGGTTCTTTTCGGATGTGATTTTCACAGTATTTTTGGCAATTGTGGCATTCCACTTCATTATTTTCAGAAATGGTAAGCGTAAGTATTCTTTTAACCTCAATTATATAACATTCATCCAGACGACCAGCAGTGTGTTTGTATGTTTTGTTGCCACTAATCGTATTTCGAATTATTTCGTACGAAAATGACCCAATTTAGTGCCAATAAAACACACAAATTTATACTGACTACCTACATTCGCTGCCATCTACAGCTTTCAGTCAAAACTACAGTTATTTCTAAAAGAAATCTACTAGTGAGTTCATGGAGCTTGAAGTGTGGAATCATAGATGGCGCAATAAGATCCATCCGTGATTAAACATGAGTATAGCGAAATTTTACATTTTTTTTGGCGTTTCAGAAAACATTCATAGTGGAAACGTAGGACTGGCGGTATCCCAAAGTATTATTCTGGTAGGAATGTTACAATTGGGCGTCAAATATGGCACAGGCATGGCTAATAGTCTCATTAGCGTGGAGAAAGTTCTGGAGTACACGAAAATAGAAAAAGAGAACCTTGAAGGGGATAACGCCCCTAAAAATTGGCCGCAGCTCGGTAAAATAACGTTCAGAAATACACATCTCTGGTATGCAAGGGAAAAACCACCTGCCCTCAAGAATTTGAATATAGTAATATTACCGAGAGAAAAAGTAAGTTGAGAATCTGCCCTGTGAGTGAATAAGGAGTACCACAAGAACTAAAACAGAACTAATTTAGGATAAAGTTGATGGTTGTTGGGAAAAAACGTTTTAGCCGAATACTACTCCATCAATTCAAGGAAAATTTGAAAATTTCCATGTGAACGGAGAAGTTGAAGCACAAAAATGTTTTTCCCAGAAACTAAATCTCTCCAAATAAAATAAATATAACTTTCGTTTCATATACTATTTTTCTTTCATGTACAGATTGGTGTTGTCGGGAAGGGAGATTCAGGACAATCGACTTTGATCGCTTCTTTATTCAGACTCTCCCCAGTTGAAGGACTTGTGGCTATAGACGACATTGATACGTCTACAATGAGTTTGAGATCCCTCAGGTCGAGCATTTCTTTCATACCGCAGGAGCCGGTTTTATTTTCAGCAACCATAAGGTGAGGCACATCATTCGAAACGCTTGTAGCTTTTAAAACTTTTTCCAGCTTCAAGTTTTTATTATATTTATAGTTGAGACTTCAGTTTTCATTCTTTTCAAGGTACAACTTGGATCCTTTCAACAGGGTTACAGATGACGTACTTTGGAAAGCCCTGGAAGACGTGAGTATATAAGAAAAATGTCATATGAATCTGAATCATTTTGACGTCCCATTATATTAAGTCATTGTTACTTTCTCTGAGTATATCACCGAAATGTTTAGCAATCCCCAAATAATTTTGTGCTGTTCAGACTAGAGTCTGTGTGTGATTCTTTGATTAATTTCACAGCTCTAAATTAAGTTGGTTACACCCACATTTTCATAATTGTCATAAAATTCAAAATTAACCTCACGGTGCCGGAATATTAGTCATTTCCAAACATTGAATGAAACCGTTCCATAATCGATGAAAAATCATATTAAAACTCATTAACGCAGTTCACGTGATTTTCAGTATGAAAGGTTTACAGAATCGCGGTACGTGTTATACAATAGCTTTCTCAAGCAGGTCATCATTTACTCATTGATCAAAACCATTTTATAGTTTAGGAACACTAGCTCTTACTTGTCTACACTGTTATCAGATAATTAGATACAATCAGATGATTAAATCTACTTTAGAATCCTTGCTAAGGTTTCTAGAGTATAAAATGGTTATAATTCGAGAGAAATTCATCAGGCTTCTTTAAGAAAGCCAGCGTATAGCAAAAAACAGTAGTAGTTTTTGTAAACCTCTAGTGAAAACCACAGTAAACTGCATTAGTATATTTTCAAACATTTTTCACGTTCCCGGAACATTAGTCACCCCCAAATTAGTTTCAAGGTATCGGAACATAAGTCATTCTAGAATAATTTTCAAGAAATCTGGAAATCAGTATCTTTCAGGTTTTTCAAGGTTTTTCACCGTCTCTTTAGCTGCTCCCATACTGTGTTAATAGTGTTTTAATTTTAACCATCCTTAAAATATCTTACGTTGCCAGAATATGTATAAGACAGTCACAAAAATTATTTCAAAACTATTTTCACGTCGCTGGAAGTTTGGTCACTACGGAAATTTTTGTTACGTTACCGAAACAATAGCTACTTCCGAAATCATTTTTATTAACCTGAAAATCAGTATCTTTCAGCTTTTTTAAGGTAACACAACACCTTCCAAACTAAGTAAATATTGTCAAAATTTCAACCGTCCTCAAAATATTTCAAGTCGCCGGAATATTAGTCACACAAAAAGTATTTCAAAACTATTTTCACGTCACTGGACTTAAATCACCCCAAAAAGTCTTTATATGTTACCGAAACAAGCTACTTTCGAAATTATTTTTATATTCCTGGAATTTCGGCTTCTCCTGATATTATTGTTATATCACCGTCTCTTTAGCTGCTCCAATACTGTGTTAATAGTGTTGGAATTTTAACCATGCTCAAAATATCTTACGTTGCCAGGATATAAGACATTACAAAAATCATTTCAAAACTATTTTCACGTCGCTGGAAGTTTGGTCACTACGGAAATTTTTGTTACGTTACCGAAACAATAGCTACTTCCGAAATCATTTTTATGTTCCCGGAACGTTGGCCATTTCTGATATTATTTTTGTCACCGAAATTGTATTATTCATTGCCAAAATATTTCAACTTTGACGGAAATTAGACACTCCCAAAATCATATTGAGGTCGGCTGAACATCAGAAACTCCTTAAATTATATTGAAGTGGCCTGACTATTAGTCAGTTTTGAAGCATTGTTACTTAACCGCAATATTAGGTACTCCTACAAATATATTTACGCTGTCGGAGTATTAGACACCCTCCCAAGATTTTTAGATGATAATTTATTGAGAAAATAAACTCGTATTTCTGGAAATCATAAGATTTTTCACTCATAGGTCGATATGAAAGGGACCGTTTACAATCTATCTCAGCTAGTTTCTGAGAGAGGGTCCAATTTCGATACAGGCGAGAGAAGATTGCTCTGCCTTGCTAGAGCTTTGGTTAGAAACAACAAAATTTTGGTAGTGGAGGAAGGTTCAGTTGATACAGATCCATCGTAAGTATTCGTAACTGTGTGTATTTATACCTTTTGTTCCAATGTTTGAAAGAAATATACGTTAGAGTAATGTACCAATGAAATTTCTCAAAAAATCAACTGCTTCTCTGGCTATTAACAAGACTAGTAATGGCTGTCTGGGTATATCAGGCTGAATGTTTTATCATTTTCTAGTACTAATCGCCTGATCCAGAAGATAATCCGAGAAAAATTCCAGAAATGCACCGTCATCACCATCGCTAACAACCTGTCAACAGTCATTGACAGCGACAAGATCCTTGTCATGGATGGAGGGGAGGCTTTGGAATACAGTCATGCTCATGTACTTCTTCAGAGTCCTGATGGCCATTTCAAGAAGATGGTGGAAGAATTAGGAGCTAAATCACAAGAAACTTTGAGGGAAGCCGCCAAGAAGGACTTCGAGAAGAAGAATTTGGGGATAGAGTTCACGTTTGATAACTGTTAAGTTCGATTTTGTTTCAGTATGATTATTGTTGGTTTCGTTTCACTATAAAGTATTAAACAATGAGAATTATATCGAAAACTTGATACTTTTTTTACTAATTCTTTCTATCAAAGAAGAGGTAGAACGGTGATCTATCGTTGCTCGGCCTATTCTCCTTCCAAGTTCATGAACGAATAACAGAGACTCCGGGCCATAAACACCAAAAGTTTCAACCGCTACTGGATGAAACAGATAGTTGTTTCCAAGAGTTTGGTATTTTTTCTTTTCAATTTCTCGCCAGATAATGCTGCAGACTTGGAACTTTCGGCTAGATGAGAAGTCGCGACCGTGTCAACCCAAGTGAAGTCCCATACCACAGGTTTACCGTATTTCCATACCATCTGCTCGTTTACCATCATCTCGACTGGTACCTGAGGGTTCCAGAATTGCAGAAACATCCGCTGACAACATAGCTCATTTCAATATGTCGTTCACTTGGTGAAGTCGAGATGTACGCCCTGCACTTCTCCTGCAACTCAAACCATGTGTACCTTTCTCATCAACTATACTACCGCAAACACAAGTATGAGAAACACAAATAGATGAACCCATCCTAAGTCCTACTGCTATTCTGAAAGATTCATCGTCTAATAGTGTTCCAAGAGATGGAACAGGTGAAGCATTCAGCCAAGCACCCGATTCCTTGATCATTGCTGCTTTCAGACGAGCCTTATTGTATACACTTGTAGATTTCAAAAGTTTATCAGTTATAATGTTGAGAAGAGGTCGGTCCCATACACTTTGTATTTTCTTTTTATCTGTAGGAGGAGCAATATTAGTTGCGGCATGGCAAAGTGATTCACCTTCAGAATAAAAAACGTCTTTGATATTGATAAATAATCTGGGCTCAAATTAAGAGTTACGTAGCTCGTGAAAACGTGACATATAAAACTTCTGATGTCCAACGTGTATTAAAACTCGCAATGGAACGGACACGAAAAGAAGATTGGGCTAATGCTGTAGCCCATGTGATGTGACTGGACGGAATGGTACACACTGGTTTCGACCAAATAATAATAGATTTAAGTGTGACTGGGGATTCCTCTTCGGACGAGTCAATGGAATCTGAAACTTCATAAGCATAACATAGGTAATTGTTTCTTTGCTTTGTAGTTCTCTTTCTATATAAAAGGAACATGGAATTCCGAACTGATGAAATACACCACGAAACATTATCAACCACCTTCAAACAAACAAGTGTATCATATCTGAGGGGACTACTTTGAAAGGGGAAAAACTGAAATTGATGGATAAATAAATATTGTTTGAGAAAAATTTAAATTTATCTTATTTTTTTATTAGACCTCGTATTTCCTTATCCTTTTCCACGTTGGCATGGTTGTTCAAGCTCCAGTTTAGAAAAAAATAGCCAAATGTTTCATGATGAATTTCACTAGTTCGGACTTCCATTGTCTACTATATAAAATGATTTGAAATCACTGAAACAACTAAAAAAGAAGAATTGAAAATGAATAGCTGAAAATAACGATTATATTAACCAAAATAAACCTGAAATGAAATAATAGTGAAATAAAATACAAGTAAAAATAGATCAATTGAATTAATAAGAATAAAGAAATGAAAACAGAAAATAAAAATAAAAAGTAAAGAGATTCCAAGTCACGTTAGTTCACGACGTTTCGATTGTTAGTATCTACAATCGTCTTCGGGTGATGACTGGACTGATTCCTCCGAGAGATGACTATTTATAGGGTCGTTGAAATACTTTCAC